TATATTAAAAGCACGAATACCCTTAGCGAAATGTCATTCGTCTTTTTTACCCTTTAAAAAGGATTTCATATTGAACAAAATTGCAATTTAAAGCATATTCCTTATATTTAGTATTTTGAGTTAACTAAAATTTAGATTGTACAATATTTTCTTACTTGAACTAAGTAAAAAATCCTATAATATTTAAGACATAAAATCAATTAAAATTTTATTTTATATAGATTCATTCCTTACTTGATCTATCTAACGTAACCATAATTTATTTCATGGTATACTTTTGCCCAATCCTAATATTTAGGAATTTTTCACGTTACTTTTTCATATTTGTTTTTCTTTAAAAAATGAACCTTAATACTATTTATACTAAGGGAATGGAAGTATTACTTAATTAAAACTGAAATATATTTTGAGTGAAACATAATTAAATTTATGTTAAGACAATATTGGAAAATTAATGTTAAAACAATATCAAACAAACAAAAACATTGTATTTATCTTGAATTGTTTGAAAAGGTGATAATGAATTGTGCATAATGTCTTTTAATTTGCTCCAGCTGCAAGGTCAACTTTGTCCATAAATGTCAAATTAAGGATTTAATCGACGTGAACTACATTAACCAAGGTATAGGAATAACTTCTTTTTGTAATGATTTTCTTAAAAACAAAATTGCTAATATTAATTAAGATAGAGAGGATAATATTAGATCAAATTGGTCAAACTGTAATTCTTTTTGGATTAGTGATAAATAGTCTAAAACAATTATTATAAATTAATAAAATAAGCTGGGAGGGAAGCATAATTGCAAATCATAAGAAAAGTTAATGTTATGAAGCCAATTATAAAAAAATAAATCCACTTTATTTTGTTCTATATATGTTATCAATATTGGTGAACCTCACATTGACGACATTGTTCATCTTCGTATAACTATGTAGACTTACAAAACTCAAGCTTACTTTCAAGATTGTTTCACTAGAGAATACTATAAAGATTAAAGACAAGTAAAATGTTTCTAGCATGAGTATAAATTAATATTTTACCACTTTCTCTAAACTTCTTAAACAAATGTAAAACTCATACATCAAAATAATTATTAAGGCAACCGATTACTTTTGCGAGACATGATTTATTTATTGATAGAGCTAACTAATTGATAGGATCAACATTCATTATTTTCAAGAACTGACTTTTATTTTAATTTTTATTTTATAAAAACATATTGTTTAACAATATTATTCATGTAATTTTCTAAACTCTTTATATTCGTTGATATGGATACACGCGCAACACGCAAACTATAGACTAGTATATAAAAATACTAGGAGTAATTAATTAAATACCTTAAAGGTCGATAAGTGCAATAATGCACTAAATATGAATTTCTTATACCATGATTAAAAGTTTGACAACAAAAAAGCAATAATAAAGTTTTAAACAAGAACAAAAGGCAAGAAGCTCAATTTTGCACTATTTACAGGTTGTTTGGATGATTGTTACTTGTTGTATTATTTCGTATTGTTGCTTTAGATATAATGTTTGTTTTGATTGTTTGTTAAATTTTATTGTATCGTATCGTTAAATTCGTCATTGCGTAACGACGAAAAGTGCCACTTTATGGAACTACCGATTTGGTGTGGTCGCGTCGTTCTCTTATTTTTTTTCTCTCATCTTGCCTTTCCATATTATTAAATAATCATATTTTATCTTTTATCCTACCTTTTTATGTAATAATTATACATCGTACCTTACTTTTTCTTTATAATATTGCAAGTTTATTCTTCATATTGTTGGTGAATGACATCATGACACGACAGAAAATAGTACAATCTATCCAAACATTATTTACAGCAAAATGATATAGTACAATACAATACAATACAATATTACACGATACATTATAAAACGATACATAACAACCATCCAAACAACAAGGAGGTTTTAGGCCTCCATGACTTTTTACAATGTTGAAATTAAGAAAATATCTTTTTTAGATATCTTACGTGTAAAAGATAAATCTCTTATGTATAAAAGTAAATCTCTCGTGTGAAAAATAAAATAGGATCATAAAACTAAAAACAAGTATGTAACGGGCCACAAAACCATTTGAGCCCAGGCTGTTAGGCACTGATACAATACAAGTCAAGCAATGACAAAACTTACTAAAATATACTTCCTCCGTTTTAATTTATGTGAATATATTTTTTTTTTAGTTCGTGCAAAAAAGAATGACCTCTTTCCTTATTTGGAAATAATTTATCTTTATGCGATGATTTATAACCATACAAAATATATATGCCTTATTTTATAACACAAGTTCAAAAGTCTTTCTCTTTTCTTAAACTCCGTGCCCACTTAAATGAGTTCACGTAAATTAAAACGGAGATAATCAATCAACAGCGAAGCGGATGGATGGTGTTATTTGTATATATAAGGGTCGTTCATTTCTCCACCTCAACAAAGTCACCGTACATTTGCATTCTAGTACCATCTTCAACCAGGGTCCTTTCTTGTCATTGTCAAATCCCAGGTAAATCTTCTCTCCATTTATTTTGTGGCTTTTAATTGCTCTTATAGATTATAATTAATTGGTTCTCTGTACATTTGCCAAGATCACTGTTTTTTCCACCTAATCGGAATTTTTTGTTCAAGCTTTACTTGTTAAGGTATGAGGGAATTAAAAATTGAATTTCTTTTTAAATATGGGCAGAAAAGTGATTCTGAGAATTGGGTTTTTTGTTTTTTGAGATTTATGAGCTGTGGAGGATGGATTCTTGGTGTTGATTGAATAAAGATGTAATCCACAATTAATTTTAAAAGGGATAAGATAAAAGATGTGCATGTTCTTTTCTGAATTTGTTAGGATACAAGGTTTTGAGTATCTTTTTTTCCTAATTTAGCTGGCAAAATTGTTGTAGTTGGTGGATTAAATGAATTTGATGTTCCTATTAGTTTCTTTCACTTTTTCTTTTTCCTGAATATTGGAAACTGGTTACATTTTGTTAGGAATGGAAGTTGCCCGAGTAGAGTGGAACGGGTTTAGAGGGTTCTCAAATAGCTGATCCCAACTAGTTTGGGATTGAGGCATAGTTAATTTGATTGATTGATGATGAGAAATCTTGGTTAAATGAGTAGCTGATATGATGAATTCAAGCACTATGATGCAAATAATATTTCAGTTAGTTTCACTTTTAAATTGTTGCAGAATTAACTTGACAATATGGCGGGAGAAAAGAATGGAATTGCCAAGGATGTAACTGAAGTAAGTTGATTACCTGTTGTATCTGGTTCCTTTCGAATATTGCTTTTCTTTATTTGTAGACCGCTTAGATTGTATTAATAATTTGCGGCTTTGACCCACAGTTGATCGGTAACACTCCTTTGGTGTACCTGAATAATGTTGTGGATGGGTGTGTTGCTCGCGTTGCTGCTAAGCTGGAAAGCATGGAGCCATGCTCTAGTGTTAAGGATAGGTAAAACTTCATTTTGCTTGTGGATATTCCTCTGCAAGGATGACTGTGTTTTGCTTATCTGTTTATTACTACTGCCAGGATTGGTTATAGTATGATTACAGATGCTGAGGAGAAAGGCCTGATCAAACCTGGCGAGGTTAGTTACCCTTGTTTCTAGAAATGATTTTGCAATTTGGTTTGTGGGTTGAGTGGTTCTATAATTTGATGAATGTGTGACAATTATCTCCAAGGAGGAATGAAGTCATTTGTATTTTGAAGATTTGGTTACGACCTTGTTTAGCATTCGAATCTGACTTTGTATTGTCTTTCTTTGTGAAGAGTGTCCTCATTGAACCTACAAGTGGAAACACTGGAGTAGGATTGGCATTTATGGCTGCTGCTAAAGGCTACAAACTTATCATTACGATGCCTTCTTCAATGAGTCTTGAGAGGAGAATTATTCTTCGTGCTTTTGGTGCTGAGTTGGTGCTTACCGATCCAGCAAAAGGGATGAAAGGTTCTATTCAGAAGGCTGAAGAAATAAAGGCCAAAACACCTAACTCCTTTATTCTTCAGCAATTTGAAAACCCTGCAAACCCAAAGGTATATCTTTTTCCCACGCCAAAGTTTACTTTCTCCGATGGGGAAATGGTTAACTCAAATACTATCATAATATAGGTACACTATGAGACCACTGGTCCTGAGATCTGGAAAGGCTCAAATGGGAAAGTAGATGCTCTCGTCTCTGGAATTGGAACAGGAGGCACAATAACAGGTTCAGGCAAGTATTTAAGAGAGCAGAACCCCGACATAAAGGTGAGCTTGTTTAAGAATTAGGCTAATGACCTGTAACGCGAAATATTTGATTTGGTTTTGATTAGTAATTGAATTCCTTCTATATGCCGAATTTCTGTTTGGTGTTATCATGACTTGTAAAAATGATTCCTTTTTTCCCTTTGCAATTGGATGATAGCTCTATGGTGTGGAACCAGTTGAAAGTGCTATTCTTTCTGGAGGAAAGCCTGGTGAGCTTTTCTTCTTTATCAACCATTATGTTCTTTTTTCTTTTCATTTTTCCACTTTGTGCATATCGCAGCAGAACTCAAGTTTGTGGGAATGAGAACCTTATAAATATGAGACCTGTCAGTCATTATCAGTTATTGGGTTCTCACACTATCTTAATTGTAGTTAACATTATTTCTGGTTTTCGACACCTTGATCCATATCTAAGTAACATTCCTATAAAGTGTCTACATAGCGACCGAAAGTTTCAATGGTGTAACTAGTTGCACTGAATGGCCAGCACTGTATGTGCTTTCTAACAGGGTCTAATATAAGTGGTTCATCATGTAGACCTAAGGTCATCTAGTCGTGTAACAGTATCTATTGGTGTATCTAAGGCTACATTTCGCACAACACCTAGAGCCTGGTATAGCTAAAATTTTAACTTTTAATATGGAAATCTCAAAGTAAATGAGTAGGTGGGATGTAAAAGTAATTCAGATGAGCAGGCAGTGTCTGGAGTCTGAAATTCCCATGATCCATCTTAGTAAATTATAGGAATTCCATGACGTATTGATTGATTGTGGTTCTCCCCTCCCCCTCTAAAAACATTACTTGTTAAAGGTTTAGGATTTAGTTGGCCTTCTTGGTTGCTGATTAGCATGTCTTGGCATCTTAGTGGTCACTTCGCTTGCATGATATATTGGAAAGGAACCCGATTTTATTTGTTAAAACTCTTCTGGTAAGCTGAGAGCCTGAGACAGCCTTCATATGATGGAAGTCAATCATAAAGTCTGGTCCCCAGGTCCATGTACTGGTTTAAACCATAGCCTTCTCCTCGAAGCTTGTTTATCCCTTCTTATGCCCACTGCAAAACCAAAATAAAGGAGCTATATGTTAAATATTTCAGGACATTACTTTTACCCTTTAATAAACTATTGAACTTAAGTTGCACTGAAGCTCTCCAGGCAACAACATACCAAAAGTGGGATTCTCTAAATAATTCCAAAGTGAGTTTGAAAAAGCAGAAAGGTAGAAAAAAATTGCTTGGCTTGTTTTTGAACAATTATTTTTTCAATAAATTTCAAAGACTCCATGTTGTTCTAGTAATATTTTAGCATGCATCAATAGGACATAATTTTTTCTATCGAATGTCTCCAAAGAGACATCAATAGTAAATAGCTATCTACAAAAAATGTGAATCCATTATTAAACATCTTCCTCCCTTTTTAGTTGTATATTCCTAACCAAAAATACGAGCATGAGCAATGTATAATATACTTTAGATTCCTAATTAAATTTGTATCAAACTTTAAGTGCCAAATTACCTCGAATGTTTTTTCTTTTTTTTTTTTGATTTTATAATCTCTTTATGCCAAAAAGGGTAACTGACATTGTACTCTCATCTCTTTACTAGTATTTATATATTTATATCTAACCATATACAACAGCTACTCCTCAATCCAAATCTAGTTGGGATCGACTGAATGGATCCTCAGTATCCATTCTTTTAACCATATTGTATAAAGTAATTTTCACTCTTGAATGTCATAAGAGTTTGGTATAAAAATCTGCTCCTTCTGAACTCCATTTCTTGTGTCAACCCGAATATAAAAGAGAAGATGCTTTTTTGTCAAAAAAGAGTGAAAATTGCACTAACCCTTCTGAGTGGCTACCCAGTCCTGCAACACCGCCCCAAATGGAGGGGAAAAAAAGCAAAAACAAAAGTCATTATGTCCACTTTTACCTTTTATCAACCAAAAAAAAAAAGAATCATTCTGACCATCTTGAAATATCTGCTATTAAACAATTTAAGAAGTCATTGTTATATGGTTCTTTGATTCAATTTGACATATGACTTGCCGATGATGCATTAGGTCCACATAAGATTCAGGGGATTGGTGCTGGTTTCATTCCTGGTGTTTTGGAAGTTGGTCTTATTGATGAAGTAATTCAAGTAAGATATGAACTTCCCAGAATATCCTTTCTACAAAATTCTTGAACTATGTGAACGCTATGAATCGCAGTTTTCTCTCTATTATTGATCTTGAGCTTTGTAGGCTTTAGGTGCTAGCATTTGACAGAATTTATTCATTTTGATAAAATCAGGTTTCAAGTGAAGAATCCATAGAAACCGCAAAGCTTCTGGCCTTGAAGGAAGGTTTACTTGTAAGTTTGATTGCTTTAACTGCTCCCAACCCTCCTACTCCCTCCTCCACCCCCAAAAGAAAAGAAAAAGAAGAAAAAAGGATAAAGGGAAAAAGCTCCCACGGAATAAAGAAAGAAAAAGAGAAATGTGTGCAAGAGCTATTGAACATTGTAATAGTGGCGCACTCCTAACGTCCTACATCTTTTGGATACTGAAAATATGCATTTTACAGGTGGGCATATCATCTGGTGCTGCTGCTGCTGCGGCAATCAAACTTGCTAAGCGCCCTGAAAATGCTGGGAAGCTCATTGTTGTAAGTATCTATCACTTATTATGAAATGCTAGTTTACTCATGATCAGCCGAAGCTGATAAACTATATTATGCAAAACATTGAAATATTGTCATATCTAAAACAAAGAAAAGACATGCATCATTATCTTAGTGGACTCGTGGGATTTAGTTGTTTGTGAGTATAAGTGATGACATGATGAAACATTTTTTTGTTCACCTTCTATCGGTAGGAAGTGCTTCATTTAATATTTGTCGTCCCTAAATATCTTTTTTTTTTTTTTTTTTTTTTTTTTTTTTTTTTTTTTTTTTTGCATATCTAACTAAAAAAAGTCTCGTTTTCTGTGTTACCATAGGGAACAGAATATAATGAAAGAAATTTACTCATTCATGTGTCTCTTGTGTTTCTCTCTTCAAAATACATCTGGGGTTTTTGGTCGTGTAGGGATAGACTTGATATGTCATTTCGGAAGGCCTTAAGTTTGATGATGATTAGGGTTAGTTACTTCGTTGGCAGTGCTTTGGTCCAGAAAGATGGGATAAATTGATTATCATTGTGCTTTGATGCTCAAGATTCTTGTGCCTGCTGCAACTGCTGAATATACTCCTCTATTGCTGTCTGCCTACTCCTAAAATATTTTTTTATTTAAAGCTCCTAAGACAAGTGTTGCTTCTATGCTCATTTTGACTGTCTGTGGCATAGGTTTTCATCTTGTCCAGCAAAACACTGCCAATTTTGCAAGCTTTTTTATGCTACTTTATTGATCCATCTGGTGCTTCCTGCCATTATTGTTCTATTGTTTTGGTAGAATATCTAATTTGACAGTTTTTTGCACATTGTAATCATTCCTTGCTTGAAGTGTTCAAGTATCCAGTTGACTTATTGTCACTGCATGGATAACATTTTCACCATTTTTAGTCATTTGTATGATGGAATGGCATTCTAAGTCACGACGAGGTTTGTTTTGCCGCTACTTACAGCCACTTGAAACTGGTATTGCAGGTTGTTTTCCCAAGCTTCGGGGAGCGATATCTTTCCTCTGTCCTCTTTGAATCTGTTAGACGGGAAGCAGAGAACATGACCGTGGAGCCTTGAACATTTTGTCCTTCGATTACCATACCATAGTCTCGAGAGGGTTTTCCGATCAAAACAGAATGTTCTTGTCTGAACCTTTTCCCTTCCTGTTTGCTGAAACTTCTAAAAATAAGGCCTTTTTCTTTTCTTTAGGGGCCATTCAAGTATATCTTAGTGCTTTTGTATTTTTACTGTTTCTACAACACTTGTGACAGTGGATTTATAACAGGAATTTCAAGAGCTGTTGCTGCTTGTTGATTGAAGATAGTTCTAAAGAAAGATTGATTCTTTCGAACTTTGGAGACAAACACCACCCTAAAAAAGGACCTCAAATCCAGATAAAACAGGAACATCCTCATCTAAATCGGAAAAATGGAGTTAGCGTGACTCATTAACCAGGGTGTACATGAGTCGGGTTGATTCGGATTTTTTAATTACCAAATCAATGATGTTAGATTTTTAAATTTATAAGCCAAACCAAGCCAACAAAGTCGGATTTTTCAATCTCGCTTTTTCTCTAGTTTTTCTTTTTTTTTTTGGGTTTTCGTCAGGTAAAGTATTTCTTAAGTCCTAGTAAAATATAACTATATAATGTATTTTCCAAGAAACTAACACAATAATATGAGATAAGTTATAGCATTATACTAAAATATTCACTAACAAAGATAAAATAATAAAATTACATAAAATAAATATTGCTAATTAATAAGTCTTAATAAAAATTAACATAATCTAAAAATATTATATTGGTCATGCTAAAATAAGTATAGCTAATAAGTATTAATATTAATTACATAACTAAGCACTAAAGAAAAAGATAAACTAAGTTATGCATTTTCATTATAAACCAATATAAAACTAAAATAATTATCAAACACTATCGTCATTCCTAGTATTGAATTGAATTTCTTTTGTTAACATTAGTATTACTTTGTTTGAGTTACTACATTTATAAGCTTTAAAATTTATTTACCATTCAAGAATATTAAGCCTAAACTTAAAATAATACATTAAAAGATAAAACTGTGAAAACAGTTTAAGAAATATTTGTAAATTACATTACAATAAATATTTATATGTATAAAATATTTTTTAAAATTATATAAATATACTATCAGGTTGGTTTGGTTTCGGTTTGACTTTTTTTTAGTTAAAATCAAACCAAACCAATTATGGTCGGATTTTATTTTCCAATACCAAACCACATCAATTTTTTTTTCCGATTTGACTCGTATTATCGGTTTAATGCGATTTATCGATTTTCTTTGTAAACGCATGTCATTAACTATAAGTCTATAATAAGTATATATTAGGCGCCATAGACTAACACATTTTCTTTCTTCATAAACTTTTAAACCTGACTTTGAGCTATCATATACTGGAGTATTCTCAATCATCTTTTGCAACAATAAAAGGGAAAAGATTGTTCAAAATTATTCCAAGGAAAAAAAGAAGTAAAACACAAAAAAGAAGATTCTTCAAAGAAGTCTTATCTTAATAAAAAAATCAACCAAAGAAATCTTGAACACCTTTTCCAACAAAGACTCTATCAGAAAGTTCGGCCAAAACGGCATTAACAGTGAGCAAAACGACACTGGACCCAGCAATGACTCCAATCACAACCCCAGTAGTACTCAACACCTTACCAAAAGCTGGCCATTCAATTTCCCTTATCTCTTCCGCCACTCCACTCCAAAAATCCGTCCCCTTCTCTTCTCTCTCCTTCATCAGCTTCTTTATCTCCGACCCCACATCCGACGGTGACAACTCATCGCCGCCGGCGTCTTGATCGGTGGCGACTTTGGTACTATCCGGTNTTCCGCCACTCCACTCCACAAATCCGTCCCCTTCTCTTCTCTCTCCTTCATCAGCTTCTTTATCTCCGACCCCACATCCGACGGCGACAACTCATCGCCGCCGGCGTCTTGATCGGCGGCGAATTTGGTACTCTCCGGTGGTGGGTTTTGCTGGGTTTCTGATGAGGAGTTGTTGGAGTTTGATTCTTGAGTGGCTTTTAATGGGATAGTGAAGGAGTTGGGTTTTTTGGGTGTGGAAGTGAAAAGACTCTGTTTTTTGAGATGGGAGAAAATGGGTGTGGGTTTAATTGAGGCGGTTGTGTTGAGGTGGAGAAATTTAGGAGAGGAAGAGGGAAGCGGGAGTGGGGACTGTGAGAAGGAAAGTGTATGTGCCATTGTTACCGAGCTATACAGAATGAAAATTTAAACAGTATTAATCATTAGATATTTGATATAATGCATCGAGGAAAAGATCAAAACAATACATTATGTTTGGCTTTAGAATCAAAAGTACATATTCTTTCACATGCAGCACTAATAGTATATTTACTTTAATAAAGTGGTACACTTTTAGTTATGACACTGAAAAAAACCCAAAAACATACATTATCTTTGGATTTAAATTCAAACTCATACATATTCTTTCACATAGAGCATTAATAGTCCATTTACTTTAACAAAGTGATGCACTTTTAGTCATAACACTAAACACATTTAATTTTTAACAAAAATCTAAGATCTGACAAAATATTTGTTCCCTTTATTTTCTTGTTTACCGAAAGAAATAAAGATGATAGATTTATCTGGATAGCAAATAATAAATATACATAGAATTTATTTACTATACGTAAAATATACATTTTATAAAGAAATATTAAACACCGTTAATTTTTATTTGCAATGATTTTTATCTAGATAACCTCAAATGTTATCTAAATTTTTTATTATATACATAATATTTACTATACGTTGACATAAAATAAATATACGTAAAATCATTGCTAAGAGTAAAATAAATTTTATTACTAAAATAAATATACGTAATATATATTTATTAGATTTTTTTATTTTATGGGAGTCAGCATATAGTAAACATAATATTTATTTTTATTTTATGTATATATAATAAAAAATCTAGATAACATTTGAGGTTATCTAGATAAAAATCATTGCAAATAAAAATTAACGGTGTTTAACATTTCTTAGTAAAATATATATTTTACGTATAGTAAATAGATAAATAGTAAATAAATTCTATGTATATTACTATTTGCTATCTAGATAAATCTGTCATCTTTATTTCTTTCGGTAAACAAGAAAATAAAGGGAACAGATATTTTATCAGATCTTAGACTTCTATTAAAAAATAAAATGTGTTTAGTGTTATGACTAAAAGTGCACCACTTTGTTAAAGTAAATGGACTATTAGTGCTCCATGTAGAAGAATATGTATGACTTTGAGTCTAAAGCCAAAAATAATGTATGTTTTTGGGCTTTTTTTCAGTGTTATGATTAAAATTGCACCACTTTGTTAAAGTAAATGTACTATTAGTGCTCCATATGAAAGAATATGTATGACTTTGATTCTGAAGCCAAATATGATGTATTGGTCAATTATGTTATAATATTTATATTGTTATAAAATAAAGATAGTAAAGTAAAGAAATTGATATATTATTCAACTTCAAACTAATGTACGTAATGAACTGAAAGCTACTCTATATATAGAAAAAAGAAAGCTGCTGTGTAAGCTGCTACTGCAAGCTGCTGTGTAAGCTCCTTGTAAGATGCTACTGCAAGCTGCTGTATTAGTTGCTTGTAAGCTGCTACTACAAGCTGCTATGTAAGTTGCTTGTAAGCTGCTACTATACCAAATATAGATTATCTTCTAACGGAGATAATGTTTATCCATAATAGAGTACCAAAATGATAAGCTTTTCAGGAGGCTTATTTCCAATAGAGTACTAAATAGATAAACATATTTACGGCGGAGTCACATATGGATAAGCTTCTTCAGGAAGCTTATTTATAGCGGAGTACTAAATGAACATCCATAATATAATATATTTATAACACTCCCCCTGGATGTTCATTAAAAGATAATGTGCCTCATTAAAGCGTTACTAGAAAAAACCCTGTGGGAAATAAATTCTAGTGAAGGAAAAAGAGTACACATATGTAGTAATACGCATAACTAGTTATCTTATTAAAAACCTTATAAGGAAAACCCTGTGGAAAAAACCTTAGTAAGGGAAAAAGAGTATAGCGCGTATTTTACTCCCCCTGATAAAAACTTTGTTTCAAATATTTGAGTCTCCGCATTCCAATCTTGTATACCATCTTCTCAAAAGTTGAAGTTAGAAAAGATTTAGTGAATAAATCTGCCGATTGTCACCTGAACGGATTTGTTGCACATCAATATCATCATTTTTCTGAAGATCGTGTGTGTAGAATAATTTTGGTGAAATGTGTTTCGTTCTATCTCCTTTTATAAATCTTCCATTCAATTGGGTTATGCATGCAGCATTATCTTCGTATAAAATTGTAGGTCTTTTCTCACATTCCAAACCACATTTTTCTCGAATAAAATGAATTATTGATCTCAACCATACGTATTCCCTACTTGCTTCATGAATAGCTATTATCTCAGCATGATTTGAAGTAGCAACAATAGATTGCTTTATGGAGTGCCATGATATGACAGTACCTCCACATATAAACACGTACACGGTTTGAGATCTAGATTTATGAGAATCAGATAAATAACCTGCATCTTCATAACCAACAAGATCTGCACTATCTTTGTTAGCATAAAACAAACACATATCAAGAGTTTCCTTTAAATATCGCAATATATGCTTAATACCGTTCCAATATCTCCGTGCAGGAGAAGAACTATATCTTGCTAGTAAATTAACAGAAAATGCTATGTCAGTCCTCGTAGCATTAGCAAGATACATTAGTGCACCAATTGCACTAAGTTAGGGTACTTCGGGACCAAGGAGTTCCTCATCCTCTTTTGGAGGTCGGAACAAATCATTATTCACTTCAAGTGATCGAACAACCATTGGTGTACTCAATGGGTGCGCTTTATCTATGTAAAAGCGTTTTAAGACCCTTTCTGTATATGCAAATTGATTGATAAAGATCCCGTCTGGTAAATGTTTAATTTGCAGACCAATACAAAGTTTTGTCTTTCCAAGATCTTTCATCTCAAATTCTTTCTTAAGATATTCAATTGCCTTTTGGAGCTCTTCTGGATTTCCAACAAAATTTATGTCATCAACATAAACAACAAGTATAAATAAATTCTTATATCATTTTTTTTATAAAATACATGGACAAATAACATCATTTATGTAACCCTCTTTCAGTAGATATTCACTGAGGCGATTATACCATATGCGCCTAGATTTCTTTAAACCGTACAAAGATCTTTGTAATATGATTGAGTACATTTCCCTAGA